TTGATAAATAGTTTGTGCATCCAGTTTTTAATACCCGTTTGACAAATAATCCGCGTGTTTGCCGAACAAGTTGCGCATATATTTTTAATGATCGTTTCTTAGAGCACGGTCACGGGACGGACGTTGGCTATCGAACTTTACGAATGTATTGGTCCAATCTAATATAAATAAATAATAAATATTTTTGGACACATTTTTTACACAGCGTTCTCTAGTCCCAAACTAAGCAACGCTTGTACTATGGGTACTAGAAAACTGATAAACTTACTTAAACATACCTTTCTTTTGTAAATGAATACATATTATACATATATAAACACCCAGACACTGGAAAAACATGTGGATGTTCATCACACAATATTTTTCGAGTAGTGAGGATCGAACCCACACCCTCTGGCGCAGGAGGCAGGGTCACTACTCCCCACGCCAATCGGATCTGTACAGAAGACCTGCAGTCTTGATATTGCCTGTTGGTTCGCTGCGATAAAACCCGTAAATTAATTTATTGCATTTAGCAATGTCCAACTTTCGATCTAGTTGTTGTAGGCTAAATGTGTCATATTTGGCAACGTATAAAAGAGATTTCGTCGAAATTCTCCACGGCGGAATTCGCGCGGAAAACTGAAGCCATGTTCTCCAAACAATATTGATAAATGCAAACACAAATGTATTCTACATTATTATTTTAATTAGATAAATTAGAATTTTAGCTGAGGACTAAAATTTACGTACATTTCGGATCTTTAATTGGTAAATTTAATTTAATTTTTCCTCAAAGTTAAACATAACATATATTTAATATTATAAACAAATGATGAACCTTTTTCAAATAACGATAAATGCAATGATTTTTCTTTATGCAACGTAGAAGCGGAAAAAACCTGATAAATATTCTCTAGTGTCGATATCCGTTTAACCATACACGTATTTACTGAGACAATTCAATACCTCTTTGTTCTTTCGTTACAATATGTCGATGATATAAAATAGGTGTTATGCACCAGCTCACTGGCTGAAAGTAGTTCATTTGACCACTTACGAAAAATGAGATGCACTCGTTTATTGCAATAAGACTTTCTAAACGGTTTTGAAACAGCCCCAACCTTTTAAGGCCTTCCCGCGTGGAAAGACGGGCCTAGATAAAACTTGAAGCGAATAAGACTGAGGGGGCCGACTCGGCTTAGTAATTAGTTGATTAGAATTCAATGGCGCGGCTTTTAGGTTGATTTTATGTGGATGCGTTTGATAAAACGCCTAAGGGCGTCTGTTTGTTTTGATTATTTGATCTAAGATATTCAAATCCAACAAAGGTCACTAAACAAATAGATAAAGGAATAAAAGTCTGTCGACCTCGAGTTTTGGTTTAATGCTTTTACAGTGTTTGTTTTACAATTGTTCCAGATGATTTTTCAAATAATCGCTGCAATTCTTTATCCTATCTCTGTGACTCTGTCTAAGCTAAAGTGGTGGACAGAGACAGCTGTTTTAACGAGCTTATTAAGGTTCAAAACGCGACAGGTGGCGATCCTGGCACAAACCAGATACGGGCGACACGATTGATTTCTTTTTTCAAATAACTCAGCACAGTCACTAAAATTCTTGGTCCAAAATAAAAAAAGTGTATTTAAACAAGACGGACGTAAACAACAAAGGCTTATAAATATGTTTTTATTGATGTTTACGATAAAAAATCATTAATGTATCTTGCAATGTGTATGTGAAAAATATCGCGTCACGTACCACGTTCTCGAAACCGATAAGTATTTTTTTCATTCGTGGAGTTTATTTTTCGCCGTTATTAATATATCGCGTATAATGTACGGAAAGTAACATTCGATTTCTTGTAATAATTTTTCAAAAAATTCAACGATTTGCGAAATAATGCTTCGGTGTCTCGGCAGTATGATAGCAACTAGACTCTTGTGTCACGTAATGTCATCGAAGAATGCTTCTAAATTTATGATGCAATATTGAACCGTGTGATTTAGTGACGTTCCCAATTTCGCATATTTCTGAGATTTGCAAGATCATTCGTGTGTTCTACAGTTACTGACGCGCTAACGAATATAGTTGAAAAAACAGGTCCAATAAAAAGTCATTATTTCTTTTGTGAAACTGGCTATGATATTGCGAGTTTCATGAATAACATATATGTTAAAAGTTAAGTCGCTTGTAAAAATTTATATGCAGTTTAAGTACAGAAATTATTTAGACTTTATACCATACCCGAATAAACGACTATCGATGAACTATTTATATTAAACCGAACCACCTGGTATGAGGACGAATGACATCTTTGGTGCTCTCTATGTAATATTGTATTAAAAAAAAGTAAAGGAAATTGTCTTCGGAGCATTCACGACGATTCCGTATCGTTGTAGCGAGGCATCGCACGGGGTCGTGTGGGACAGAGAAAAGAAAGTGCAGGTAGCCGAGCCGAGTCGAGTCGGGCAAGATTTATTGGATCGTAACTGGCGAGGTCGGCAACACTCGGCGATGACATCGCGTGCGCTCAGAAAAAATATATAGAGTTATCTACGGTTCGAAATTTGAATCATCACCTCCGAAGAGCGTCACTCGTGCCGCTTTAACCTTCGCTCGTTTTCCTCGTGGAGCGTTAAGGACGCCGAATGTCATTCTACATTAGTTTCTAAGGTAAACCGCCTTAATTATTGAAACAATTTAGTCTTATTTCCCTGTATTTTAACGAAAAATACGGCCACCAGCACTTAACCTTATCAAATACGTCAGTGACACTACACAAGCAGATGTTTTGAAAAAGGAACACGTTTTTCGTAACGCCTTAACGTAGACCGTCGACGGAACGCTGTTTAATACATGTTGCGTTGAAGACGTGGCGAATTTATTGCTTTTTAAATTTCCCCGTGCACCAATTAGGTTGATCAATAACTGCATAACAAATAACTACATTTCGTGATTGTTTCAATTATATCACTATTTTTCTACTGTTTAAATACTTTTGCTATTTCTTGGGAACGCTATTCCGCCACCATAGATATTAAATGGAAAAACTATAACACAACAAATGTTACATTAGGTAGGAGGAGTTCTTTACCTTATTAATAAGTAATACGATGGAACAGTCATCGCTAAAACTAAAGAGTACCAAAGTACTCTCAATACTCGCCTTCCAATTGCCTTGAGAGTGACTGCTTTGTGACATAATAAACATTTCTTGTTCACCGCTCGTGCTTTGTTTCGACGTAAGCCTTTTTATCTAAGATTTTCTTCTGCTCTTATTTCTAAGTTATTATTTCTTAATAAATCCGCATGATATATTGTAGCATTTATGTTCTCCCTCTTTACATTACATTCTCCAAAAAGTTGTTAACTGTTTATGCGTAAAAAGGTAAAAGTAATGCTCATCAAACAGTGTGTAATATAAAAACGTCCGTGTCAAACGCTGACAAATACATCGCGCCTGTAATTGCTCACCGATCTAAATATATGAGAGTCGGATTCCCATCGATGACTCAGCGCTCCTCCTTTAGCTGTGTACGGTGATTGATCCAAATTCGAACGTTCCTATCACGAGTTAGTTGTCGTCCGCACCGCTTTGTTGCTGCAAAGTATCTATATCTATAGCACCCGACATCCGTGCCCGTAAATATGATAGATATCGGGAAAGACACGTGTTAACATTAATCCGATGTAACTTTCAAGAATATTCGTATTCGCATCAATATAGTTTATACATTTACTCTCTTCATTAGTTGTCCTTCAGAAATTTGATTTGGCAACATTAATCGAGAGATGTTCTGGCCATTGTTGTAAAGTTGCTCCGATGAAACTGATAATTGTATAATTGGCTAGTTGCGTGTGTTTTCTATTTTAAGCACTGTAAAATATTCCGGTTCGCCTGTTTCCTGTGAAGTGAGTTCACTGTACACTCATTTGCACGTTTTAAGACAGTTTTTATTTGATTGACTTTGCCTTTAACTATTTTCTAAGAGTCCTTGTCACAGAATAGAATGGTAACGAAGTAAAAACGATTTTACTTCCACAAAATTATGCCGCAGTTCATTTATAGTTTACGTTGTATATGTTTCAATTTAATATAACACGACGCTCTTCGTAGTATACGATGTTATAAACGCGCGGGAGTTGCCAATTACGTTTTCTATAGTGATCCATTAACGGCGATTCATAAACAAGCGTCGACGCCGAAATCCAGAACGAGATTGTAATGATTAAAGACTTCGCTCTAGTTTGATGATCTGAATGCCTATTTTGAAAATTAGCCCAGTGTTACCAGCTTTCGTGTCGTTAACAAGGAGCGAGTCATGACAGTCAAAAGCGTCTAAATGACGGTCCGCAGTGACGTAGCCGCCCGCTTCCTCTCCACACGTACGTAGCGAATGACGCAATTGGCTTTTTCAATGTCTTATCTGTAGCGGGGCATATTGTCATTCGCCGAGTGACCGCCTCGCTGCGCACACGTCGCCTCCGTGTCGGTTTAATTTCGTTTCGCTCTAGCCTTTACACTTCTCAAACGCCCGAGGACGCGGCGCGGAGTGCCAGTGTTTTGAACTTTATCTGTGACATTGGTGTGGTGATTCGAACGCTAATTTGGCTGCGCTTGTCCACGATGTTCATGTCCGGATTTTTCATTTTCTCTCCCGACTTCACGTCCAGGTGCGTATTAATATCTGCGTGATCTCTATTAATTGTGAGGTTGTTCGCGTATCGTATCGTATCGTATCGCTTCGCGTATCTCGACCTGTTTCGTCGTCGACGCTTTGTTCTCGGTTATCCTCGATCATTACGCGCTTTCCTCGTTACATTATGGGATATATCTTTAAGGAAATCCACATGCGAACCTTGAAATAAAAAAAAATAATAAACCTTGCAATACGAACATTTAGAGTTGTGTTCGTGGCGAAAATTGACTGGGCGATTGGTGATAATGTTTTGTGCAAATTGTAAACTGTCGGAAATAATAAGTCGACGGGCGCTAATGTCTCCGTGTGATTTACAGAATGACGCCGCAAGAGGAGAGGGAGAGCGCGCGCGGGGCGGAGATCGCCGACGCCTTCGAGGAGGAGATGTTCGGCCCGCCGAGGACCGAGCCCGCGGCGCGGCCCAAGCTCTCCATGATCTCCGCGCGCCTCCGCGCCAACGAGGAGCGCAAGCGGGTCATCGAGATCTGCTCGCAGAAGTTGGAGAACATCGAGGACCCGGCGCGCGACCTGCGCCGCTCGGTGTGCATCAACAACACGTACTGCCGGCTCAGCGAGGAGGCGCGCAGGGAGAAGGAGGCGAGGAGGAGGCGCGCGCGCGAGGAGTGCGACGACTCGTGGGTGGGCAAGAAGGCGAGGCGGGCGGTGGAGGACGAGTGCCTGGCCCTGCTCGACGCGATACCGGAGCTGGGAGACGCTAACCTCGGCTGCGCACAGCTCGCGAGGCAGCTGCCCCGCCAGGACGTGCAGCTGCTGCCGCCCGGTTTGCTCACCGTGCTCGACTCATGACCGCACCGCGCCGCGCAACTCAACGCACCGCTGTGACGCCAGCCGTCGGAATGATACGCGCCCGAGCCAGCCCTGGAGGCGCCGTGCGCGCTCCCGGCCTCGGGCCCGTGCCGCCCGGAACCGTTTGGGCCGTGTCCGGAACCGTCCGGACCGCGCCCGGAAAGCGCCGAGCCCACGGCATCCGAGGAGCCACCGCGCCCGCACCAAACCGGACATTCGACGCGTAGCCAATTCTTTGTTGTTTAAGAAGAGTACTTACTTTGTTAGCACGTTTTTATTTTCTCTACGATTTAGTGAAAGTTGCTCAGGCGCCGCGGTCGCCCCGATTAGTGTCCGATGACTGTTTGCTTCGTCGGGGCCCCGCGGGGGTTCGCTGTGTCGCGTGTGACCGACAGATAAGAGGAGGTTTTATTGTAATGGAGATCTAGCTCTAAGGCATAATGTTACATTATTGTATTATAATAATTAAATGATTAGTCAGTAAGTGATAGTGCAAATAACTGGGAACGGTGGCGATTGGCCCCGCTGCGAGTGCGGTTTGACCGATGTTCGTTTTAAGTTTCCCTCGTCCGCCATTGCGCCGCCGGATCGGAGAGTGAGATGCTTTGACGTGGCTATCACAACAGACGGAATCCATTCCGCGCATTCCGCAAACTTCGAAAGTAAAAGTCGAGCGGCGGGCGTGCACGACGCCGCGGCCGCGTCTAGTAGGCCGTCGAATGTAACGTGCGACGGGCGGGGGGACAAAAGAAAAACGAATGTTTTGGAAGTTATGACGTGCGGTTAACCGAGCGGCTCGTGTGCGTCGCGACCTTACGCGCGAAGATCGGGAAGGGCGCACGTTTGGGGGCCATGAGCCGAACTGTCGACGGGCCGTTGCATTCTCACGGGCGGCGCCATCTTTTCGTTTATCGTTACGTTTCCCTTTTTTGAGTCGCGTTGTGGACGCGGCCGTTTCGCGTTCGCGTTACCTTATCTTATAATTTACGCTCTGTTACCATTTCTATATACGAGTATTTATGAATTGTTCGAAACGCTCGCGCGTTCGATCGTTACGTGTTTACCGTGGGTTTGTTACTCGTTCGCTTCGCTGTTGATAGTTTTTTTTTATTTTTGTTGAAATCTTAATTGTCGCGAAATATATCGGTACAGATGCCGGTTCCGCCCCCTTGAGTCGTAAGTAGGGTGGGGAGAGGGTGTAGGGTGGCTTGTGGGCGCATGGTTGGGGGCCGCGCCGTTCCCAGCACTCCTGTGATATTAGCCTAGACTGTATGTCGTGTTCGTGCTAGTTTCCCCCATATGACTATTTTTTTGGGAATCGCGCTTTGTAAAGAGCATCGCTTCGTGGAATCGACTCCGCCACGGACTCCCGGATTCTGCTATTTGACCGGTCGCAGTGTGTTAGGCCATATCGCTGCACCGATGAAGATGTAGGTTGGTTTGTATGTCGATATGCAATGTATTATAAATTATAACGCTTCCATCAGATTCACCATTTCCTGTTATTCAGCCAGTTCAACTTCTGTACTTCAGATGTATTCAGCCAGGGCCTTTAATATATCATAATGTATCTGTGACGTATTTTTGTGCATATTTCATCATTATCTTAGTCACAATACTAAATCTTGAACTTTAGAAGGCAGAGAGCCCGTACAAAGAACACGGCTTTGACATGAAGCTTATGAAGTTAATTGCACTGAGTAACGGAACAATGTCTCCACGTATTGTTCATTAGTTTTAAAGGCATCACAACCAAATGTATTCAGTGAATCAGTTGTAACGCACATATAAATTAAGCGAATGCCTCGTGTAAATCGACTTAAACCATTTCATACATACAAGTGAACGACCAAAGTTTCGTGGTAGATATTTTATTGTGTATAGAACGCGGTTCCATGAACTCGCCGGAGCGCGAGCTGTGAGATTTTTATTGTAAAATAATAAATAATTTAAATACCGAGCCTCTAATTTTTGTTTACGTAACCTTGACAAGAAGTAAGTAAATTTGTCTTGAAATCTTTATATATATAGTCTACATACAACGAATGGTACCTATTACATAGAAACAAAATGGCTGTTTACGTATTTATTTAGAATATGTATCTGTTCATCAAAAGCAATCACAAAATACGCGTAAGGTGAATAAACACTTAACAGATTGTTGACTTTAAAGTTCTAAAGAATGTCATCTGTAATTATCTACTCTAAATATGTGGATGAAGCATTACGCGCCAACTTACACAGTGGACGCCGTCTCTCTCACGCGTAGCGGGTGCGAGCGAAACAGGTATAATCGAATAATTCGATACAATCTCTGCACAGTTATCATGTAACATGCAAATGAGAATTGCAAAATTGTTAGTATATTCTGTGTACATTGCTTACTACGCTTCGCGCACAACACCATTTAAATATCACATAGCGGGAAATGTACGTCGTCCATTTCGATAATTACACGATACGAGGTGTATAAGCATTCACTTGGTACAGGTTCTGTCACAAAGGAATAATCATAATATTGAATGATGCAGAAATATTACCTATGAGAGAAACATTACGTATTCAATTAAAGTATTTGCTTTTTTATAAGCGTGTAATAAAATTCTGCAACATAAATAATATTTTATTGACAATTATTTTTCATATTACTATAAATCCATTTTATTCAACATTAGGGCCGTCTAAACTTTACTAATTACATTGTGACAAAGGAATCCTATAATGGGGACATACATATTTTTTATTAGGTTAATATATCCAATTAATACATACATGATAATGAAAAAACAAATACTTTATAATGATTAAAGGCTAGAAGATATTGTAGAATTAAAAAAAAACACCAAAAATGCAGTGTCTATAATATTTTATGCAACATATATAAAATCGGTGAATAAAATAAACAAAGTGAAGAATATTATGTACTTAAAAGAGTATGAATGTTAAAAATGTACTTTACATCGTCTCAGATAGTTTGTTGCGGAGTTATGAAAGCATAATTGTCAGGTTACGGAATTAGAGGCAAGGTGATTTTTTTCGAAGAGAACAATGAAGATATAGAGAGTATTCTGTAAATGTTATCATAATTTTATTCTCGTGATTAGCTGCTATTTTATAAATGTTTCCTGTCTTAGGCTAAGAGATGATCATTAAATAAATAATAAATAAACAAATTGTTTCACTATTCCTACATCGTTCGAAAGATAAGAAAGTATATATTAAGATTTTGAGGAATATTTGAGGTTATAGTGAAATAAAAAGAAACCAATGAAATGTTAATGCGATATAAATTATAAAAGTACAGTTCTATGTTATTCATAAATACCTGAAACGACCAAGTATGATGCTGATAGTTGTTACTAAGGCCAGATTTTAAGTTGGGCTCAATTTCTTCGATTTTAAACCAGACGTTCGCAAAGGACCAAGGAGCAAGTGGTAAGCACTTCAAAATTAATCCCCAGCACAAGTGAGTTACACAAGAGTTGATAACCTTCAAGAAAGTTACCTAAATAACTAACGTATACTTCCAATGTATTTCTAGCAACATTGTTTTATACTTGGCTGTAATAAATACAATAAATCCTCGTGTACATTCCCAATACCTTTACCTACGTTATGACTACGCAGTAAAAATGAAATACTCAAAGAAATTATAATCAAGCCGAAATAATTTAACGTAGAAAGTCAAGGTTTTGCGTTGCACGATAAAACCTCGGATCCAATGATGTCAGCAACATCTTCACACAGAGAGTTAATTATTTCATTAATTAATTGCCCATAACTGGGCGTAGACAATATTGGAATCTTTGCCTAAAGCTATGGGCATAGATTAGCGATTATGTATGGCACGAAGCGAGCTCGCAAACTGCCTACGTCATCGATTTTAGGTTTGCCATATTCAAAATATATGGCATTTTGATTTGATTCGACTATAAAATTTAGGAGTTAATAAACGAATGATAGACTTTTATATAAATATATTATAACAATTTTACATAATAAGTCTCAATTATAGACCGTCTTAGGTCAATTATTTTTTTAACATCCATCCACAATGTGAGTGTTGCTGTATTTAAATACGTCATTTACTTATCACCACAGTCCACAATGAAATAAACTTAATGTGGTTTTATCGTCTATCGACCTTAACGGGATAAACAGAGACAACTTGTACTGTTGCAGTCTCATCATGTTTTTGTGACAGGTTGAGACTAGACAGTGTGACAGTGGTCCTGACACAACCTTATGATGTCAATCTTAGTATTCTTCGTACTCTCAAAGAACAAGTTAATAGCTATTCCCTTCGTATTACAACAAGTTGTTTGACGCGCTAGGCATATTCAACGAATGACTTAAGTTCAATTCTCGACATAAAACTGTGGAAGGGCCACTGATTTTATTGAATGATTCGGCTGGCTCTTCCGGACAAGTACCAGGGCCTCACAAGATATCGGTGAGAACTGGACGTATTTTCGAGTTTTAGTGAGCTGGGCAGCTGAGGCTTACTTCTTTAAAGGTTTGAGTCTATGGGTGTCGGGAATCAGTTAACATCAAGTGAACCGCCTGCTCGCCTGCCATCTTTTCACAAAAATAATAAATCCTAAGACCACGACCAATTTAACTTTAAATTTATTAAATATTTAAAAAAGTTGTTTGTTTATACAGCGTATCGTTACCACCGCGACAATAAATGAACACACATATAGAGGATAACTTTTTAAAATTGTAATAAACATTTACATTCTTTAAACATCAATATTTACCGAGTTATTAAATTTTCCAAAAAAAACAATTTTAGAACACCCTTACGTATAAAACTGTAACGTGAAGTTCATTTGTAAAGGTCACAAAGCATATGAATGGGTTGAATGAATTTAAAAGAGACAAAACATACTCTTAGAAGGAGAGGCTTGTAATGCGACGCTGTGGCGCGAGTTGTTAATTGGTTTGTTTGAAAAATATTTTTTTTTAATTATGGATTCTGTTTAACGTTAATATTTTTTTTAGGATTATTGGCAGGTAGCGTTAGACGTGTGTTCATTTATTGTCGCGATGGTAACGACACGCTGTATAATAAAGAACTAGTTTTCACCGCTTACTTCCTCCGTGTGGTTCTTTTGGAATAAAAATGATAATTTTAAATTTTAAAAGTTACCTTTGCATTAATACATTCCATAGAGAATATCTATTAAGAACTTCTTATGTCAATAGAGATAGAGTTTTTTTTAATTAAAAAAAACTTTATCTCTTTAGTTTTTTTTAATTAAAAAAAACTTTATCTCTATTGACAACAAAAAAGAACAAAACTGCACAAACACAATCAGACTTTCACATATTACTTAATGTATTGCAAACACGAATTCCAAACGTTACACTGCCATCTATCCTAAGGCAGCGCAAGTCGCGTTAAGACGCTTCGCCACAGAGCAAGAGCTATTTATACTTCTTACAGGCGAGCCCTATTAACAACAAATTTAGATATTTGAAATAGATTAAAGCTTTTTTTATGTGAAAAGTTGGCATACGGTAATCACTACATCATCTGATGGTTATCTCACTCGCTAGACGAAACGCAAAAGTATAATACTTCTACTTCACTTTGGTCTGCTCATTCGTGTAACTGTAGAAGCTGTTGCGTGGCCTACCACAGACAAAATGCTTAATTTATTATCAGGTTCGGGCTTTGTACCTGCAAAATCACTGATTCGTGTACGGCGACAAGGCTGTCACTTCGCGTATATATGCGTACCTACATTATTGGAAACAAATGTTAGCTATCGTTTC